ACACCTTGCAAACTGGCTTCTGCTCTACCCTTCCCAGAAACGGGGACACACCAAAAGGGCCACTGATGATGCTTAATCACCAAATCCAATGTCTTCTCAGCCTTTGTGCCCCTCACCTCTCAGCGACCTTTGACTCAGGAACCTGTCTGACCCTGCACAAGGCCCAGCGTGATCTGGGCTCACCAGCCAGGGCCTGGAATTGGACTGTCTAGGATCAAGTCCCAGAATGTTCTCTCTTCTAGCTGTCTGACCACAGGCCAGCTCCTAAGCCCCTTGCACTCTGATTTGCTTCTTTATCAAATGGGAATAATAACACTATTTTCTTCACAGAGTCCTGGTGAGGAATAAGTAAAATGACCCAGAACAATGCCTGGCACTGAAGGAAAGGCTCTCAAGTTAGCTGTTAGTCCACAGCCTTGTGGGCCTCACCACATGCACCTGCCCGTCCTTGGGGGCTGCTGTTTGGGTTCTGTTTTTCTAAATTCAAGGCCTTGGATTTCCCTCTGCCTGGAATTTGCAAGTTATAAATCTTAAGTCAAATGGGCTTTACTAAAAAAAAAAAAAAAAAAAAAAAAAAAAAAAAAGGACATTTGATCACTCCCATATTGGGACAGTCTATATCCAGGTCAGATGAGGCCTGAGCTAGGACTTTCAACTAAGCCTTGCCCCCATTTCCCTCTGTTCCTCTGGGCTCTGTCCCCCCAGGAGGCAGGAGCAGCCCTCATGGTACCAAGAGGGCCCCAGCAGCTACCAAATATCGCTCTTCATGGTGCTGGTCCAGCACATAGAGACTATCTCTTCTTGGAAAGTTCAAACTCATGTCTAGGAATACAGTCTCTTGGAGCTGACCACTTTGAACCGTGTGCCCATCTCTGAGCCATCACTAGAGTCAGGGGCCTAGGGAAATCAGAGTCCATCTGCTGAGATGAGGGTGGTGGGTGGGGATACTATCACCCAAAGGATGGGGACTGGGACCAGCTGCTGAGAAACTCTGAGTACCACTGGTACCTAAAAGGAGAGAAAACCAGCTGTCTCTGGATGCCATCTCCTCCAGGAAGCTTTCCTTGAGCCCAGCTCCATGTGAGAAGTCTGTGACTTCCCACATCCCTCACTCCCCTGGCTCTCCCCTCGCTCCCCTTCCCTCTTCCTTCTGTCTCTGCTCCCAGTAGAACATCTTCCCATCTCCCAGCTTCCCAAAGGTAGGAGCAGGGCAAGTTGGTTTCCATGGCTCAGGGTACAACACCTGCAGTCCAAAAGTGTAACTCTCGAAACTATGTCCCCCACCCCCACCCCGCACCCCTGGCTTCCAGCTTCCGCGTTCTCCAGGTCCTTCTAGGTTCTGTTTCTATCTTTCCTCCGCCTGTGCCTCCAACCCCGGAACTCAGCCTTCCTCTAACGTGCAGCTTTCCGAGGCAGGAGAGCCCCTGGGAAAGCCTCCCGATGGAGGCTGGAGGCTCTGATCTCTGCTCTGGATTTCAGACCCGGAGGTCTAACTGGACAGGACTCGGCCTCCGTGATCTTCCCGGAGAGGGTCAGTTTCCATAGGGAAGTTACTTATTACCCATGAGACTGGATTCAGTAGCGTCCCCTAAGCCTGTCCCCTTCTGACTCCCATTTTCCATTAATGATTCTGTGACAGTTGATTTGAGAGGCAACACACCAGCATTATGAGGATATTTGAGCCAAATGGGCCTCTCACCTTTGGTGTCAGGTGGAAGCTTCTGGCTTTCTGACATCTTTGCCTTTGTCTGCTGTGATGTGGACAGGGTCTGGAGGAGGTACGTGGCTGGAAAAGCAGGGACTCTCATCCAGCAAATGAGGTCAGGTAAGCGCCTGTAAAAGCCCTTCCACTTGGCCACCACCACGAGGCTCGAGGTTTGGGCCGATTTACAGCTCAACTGCGACTGCTCGGGACCCCTCACTGGATTTTCTGTGGTCCTGATGCTTTATTTCCTATTTATATTTGACTAATTTATCGAATGCGTTTCCTGTGAGCTGTCTCAAATCCTCTCTGGAACAAGGTGGGGAATACATTAATATTTAAAATAAAATAAACAAAATGTCAATGTGTGTGTGCGCGTCTTAGGTTGGAAATTCCTTAAGGGCAGGGACCGTGTCTGTTTATATAGCACCTGGCACAGTGTCAAATTGAAGCTTAACAAATGAATTTTGATGAAGAGGAAGAAAGAAGCTGCCTGCAGGAAGATACGGAGAGATTTAGACTTCACCCTCCAGCTACCCCTCAGCCAAAGCCCCTTCTGCAAGGGGTGCCCTTCCGCACGCAGTTCCTGACCATACGGGTTCCCTCCTGTCATCCCTGCCCTGTCCACACTCCTAGTGACCAACCCTGTCTTCACCCAGACCCTGCTGTCTGGCAGATGTTCGCCTTCTCACACAAGCACAGCCCCAAACACACCTCACTCAGCGCTTCACCCCGAAACACAGTTCCACCTCCTCCTTTCACCCACTGCCCCAGCCCCCAGGCCCAGCCAAGGCTGGGCAGCAGCACGGCCGGGGCCAGGAAACACCACTGGCTGAGTGGTTGGAGTCGCTGTCCCCACTCGTGCCTTGGCCCCGTGGGGGCCTCCAGCCAGGCGGGGACCTGGCAGAGGGAGGGAGAGGATAAGCTGCTTCAAAACTCCAGATGCAGCAGTTAAAAAGAGGACAGAGGCAATGATCCTTCAAATTGCCACATCTGTATAATCTGCCTTTTATTTTCTGCTTCATGAAGTTTTATTTCCTATTATTTATTCACCTCCCCGCCCTCCCCTCCCCCGCCTCCACTCCTCCTTAGCAGGCGACATGCTCAGATGGGCCTTGAGCCTTGGCCTGGGTCTCAGCCCACCCCCACCCCAGCCCCCCCCCCCACCCTGGGCTGCTGAGAAAAGGCACCTGCTCCCCCTTCTAGGACAGCACCCCTCCCATCATGGTGCTGCAGCCTCTCCGGACTCCTCCCTCCACCCTCCTTGAATGGGGAGTAGAGATCAGGGAGGTGAGGCCCCTGATCCCCCAAGACTGCGATCACTGTCACCACCACTTAGCAGGAGCTTACAGGAACGAAGAACCCAAAGACCTAGAACCCGCAGCCAGCTGGAGTCTCTGTCCCTGTGTGCCCTCTGCCCACTCTCCTGTGTCTCCTTTCCCAGCGTCAACACCTCTTCCTTCTCCCTTCCCTTCTGTTCTGTGGTCAGAGATGGGGGGGGCAGCCTGCTGAGCTGGGGAGGGGTGAGTATTGAGATGGGACAAAGGGGGACCAGCCAAGCCTGTACAGGGAGCCGCAGCTGCCAAGCCAAGCTCCTCTAGGCCCTGAGCCCCCTCTTCTTCTTCCCCTTCCCGAAAGGTCCCTAACATTTCCTGTGTGCCTCACCGAGAGCACCCTACTCCCGCCTGGGAACAAAAGCACAGGAAGCCCTTTTCTGGAAAGAGACATCTGGGCCTTTTAGGCCCCAGGGGGGTTTAGGGTTTGCAGTTGGTGTTCCTAGCTCTGCTGCTTGGAGAAGACAGGGGGATGCCTGCCCAAGAAAGGCCTGGAAGGAGCAAGAAGGATTTCGAGAATAGGATCTGAAACCTGAAAGCACTTTAGATCTCTCTCATGGCCTTCAGCACTTTCCCACCTTGTGCCCTAGTGACTTTCGGAAAAGTCTTATTTCTAAGTCCGAAAGATGTGGGGTGGAGGTGGTGGGTGATGGAATTCAATAGGATTTCTCTTGCTCTTGGCTAAGTGTTTGTCTTCGAGCCTGGCACATAGTAGGTGGTTCTCGAGAGACTCCCAGGTTAACCTATGGAAGAATGCCAGGGCTCAGCAGACTTTTCTGCCCCCACCTCTTTAACTGTGGCTCCTCAGCCTTGCTTTGGTTTCTGCCCCAGTCCTGGAATCATTTGGAAGCCCAGCTTAGCTCCCCTGGCCAAGATGGGCCTCCAGTGCCCTGGGTGAGTGGGGCACCAGAAGCCACCCCACCCCACCCCAACAGAGACCTGATTCCAAATATGGAACTATGGTGTTTTGTACAGTGTTTCATGGAAAATTACCTGGGGAATTTGGGAGAAAGAGGCTTCATACCTGAACCAGTCAGATGAGGCTGGGAATGCCTTTCACTGACCCAGGCAACTACTGAATCACAACGTTAGGGCTGCATCTCATGGCCCACGAGCTTCTACAAGTGAGGAAGCTGAGGTCCCCTGGGGTCTCCAATGGGGAGGCTACAGAGCAGGGTCAGAGGCCCATACCCCAGCTCTCTCTGGGCTCCTTAGCTACATCCCTGGCCCCTCTCTCTGAGGAAGGGGTGGGAGAAACAGAGGTGATGACTGGGGGCCTCCTTGTGATGACAAGAACTAGCAGATTCTGGTACCCCCCAAATTCGGTCTCTGGAATGGCAAGCAGAGCAGCCCCTTTTCCCTGGCCCCTCCAGCCAGCTTCCCCAGTCTTGAGCCCTTTGAGCCCTTCTTCTTTCTTTTCTTTTCTTTTTTTTTTTTTCCCCTTCCTTCTTTCTTAACCATTTCTGTTTCTCTTCCCTTCTTCCTTTGGTGGGGAAATGAGTTTCCATTCAGACCAAGCTCACCCCTTTCTGGACCATGTGTGTCCTGTTGCAGTGAAGTCCCCTGGGGGTGGGGTGGGGGGGACTGTAGCTAAACAGATCCCACCCAAGGAAGCTTCTGGCCACACTCCCTGGGCTGTGCCCCCAGGGTGCTCTCATCTTGGGGGGGGCAGGATGGGGGGTGGGGACACACACATACCTGGTGGGGGAACCAACGTGGCTGGGGGCCGGGGCCTTTCAGAATGGCAGGGGCAGCCCTGAAAAGAAGGGTGAGGGTGGTGGGAAGATGACAGTGGTTTGAATGGCCCGTCCACACTCGGGGCAAAGTGGGGGCTGTATGTAAGTTGAGCTTGCAACCAACGCCCCTTCCCCAAAGCAAACAAACAAAAACCAACCAAACAAAAAGATTTATTTGCAAATGAACGGGGCGGGGTGGGGGGCGCGGGTGGCTCCCGGAGCGCGGCAGGCTGCACCCCCCTGTGCTGCGCGTGACGGTCCGTGTGCAGTGGGCTCGGCTCCCCGGCTGGGGGAGGGTGCCCGGGCCGCGGAGGAGGAGGAGGAGGGAGTGGGGGTCTCGGCGGGAGGGGGAGGGGGAGGGGTGGGGGGCGGGTGTTGGCTTCATGCTGGTACTGGTTTGATTTATCCCTAATGAGTTCTCAGCACATGGCTGCTCCCGGCTCACTCCAGGGGCCAGCGCGGCCTCCCGCGGGCCCCAGCCCGCCCCGACTCCACAACAGCCGCGCTCGCTCAGAAAAGAGCCAATTTCCACACTGCACAGTCCGCTTCACTCAAGGGGAAATCACATTTCCCTGCGAGAGCCGCAGGCAGCGCTTCACTCCACAGCCTGGCCAGCTGCCACCAGGCGCAGCTGCGGGGGAGCTGGGCCCGGCCTCCCTTCTCCCCTCGCCGGAGCCCCTGCTTCCCTGCCGCCCGGCCCGGTCCCGCCCCAAATCCCTGGGCAGCCTCTCCGCGGCCCTCTGCTGCTGCTTCTCCTCCGGAGCAGGAGAAAGGGTGCCTGCCGGCGGCCGAGGATGCTGACCAGGAGGGGACTCGCCTTGCCTGCGTCCCTGGGTTCCTGTCCCCCAGGGTCCCCGACATGTGGCGGTGGGGCTTCAGGGGGGTGGTGCACCTGCAGGAGCTGGGGGGCAGCGGGCAGGTATATGGGCCTTTGGGAGACAGGGCCTCTGTGCCGATGTCCCCGAGTGCCCCAAAGAGCAAGAGGAACAGAAGAGGAATGGAAGAAGGTCATGAAAAGAACAAGGAGCCAAAAGATGAGGCGATGGAGAGAGGAGGAAAGCATTCTGGCATTGGTGGAGCAGGACGCAGGGCCGCCTCTCACGTGTCCACAACTTTGCAGACACCAAAGGGGTAGGGGTGGGGGTGGGCAAAGGAACGATTGCTTTGGACCCCACGGAGGAGGGACAGGACAGAGGCTAAGAGATGGCAAGTGTCAGGACAAAGAGGTGAGAGAGGTGGGGGGGACACAGGGTTCTCCACCAGAATCACAGCCACCCTGGGGCACCCTGGTCACCCTGTGGAGCGTGACACGTAAGCCTGAGCGCTGGCAGAGAACAATCAGATCCCTTACAGGTGGAAATGCTTTGTGACCCTAAAGGTAGGAGGACAGCTGCCAAGGGATGGCCTGAGGAGAAACTCAGGCCCAGGGACAGAGGGGGAGCAGGATCAACCTGGCCCTGCATGCCTTCTCCACCTGTAGCCTGACTTCCATCTGGGAGTGCATAGCCATGCCCTAGGCGGTCGGTCGCTGACCTTCTGCTCCTCCCTACACAGTCAAAGCTGCCTGAGGTCTCTGCGGAGGCCTGGCCACACCCAGGTATCCAGGCTTTAGATTAGGATGCAGAGCTGGCCTTGGATTAGGGGTGGGGCTGTGGTCCCTGCTCCTCTGAATGACCTTGAGAAAGTCAGGTGATCTTTTGTTCTCAGTTTCTCCAAGTGCAAAATGGGGCCGATGTTCAGAATCACCGACAAAAATTGATGTGAATGAGCTTTATAACTAGAAACTAAGTCCATGTGAAGGTTAGTACATCTTCTAAGGATGAGGGAAGAAGGGGGGGCAGTAAAGTAAGGAGTGAAGGAGCCCCAATCCCCACTGGCTTCCCTCTGTACCTGAAGCTCATTCCCACTGACAAGGGGCTTGGAAGTCTCTGGGCCTATCCTTTGCTCCCACCCCAAAGGAAAAGGACATCAGGAATTGCCTAATGAGGACCGAGGTGTGTACACACCTGAAAAGGTGTGTGCATTTGAGGAAGGAAGCAGGCAGATGGGGAGGGCAAGCAGAAGGGCCACCCTAGTAAGCACCTCAACTTCCCTGGTCTCCTATTTCTATCTGTAGACTGTGGCTGCTAACTCCTCTTGTCTGTGCTTGTCGCCAGGGTGGAGTGTGTGCCCCCATTGAACATACACTCTCTTTAGTAACAGCTCACAGCAAGAATATTGGAGAAGGTAGGGGGTGGGGAGGTTGGAACCAGCCCAGGGTTGACCTTGGAGGCAGGACTCCCGCTTCCCCATCTCCACCCCTGCAGGCTGTGCGGTAGGGGCCAGGTGGTCACAACAGCTCTGGCCCACCTTAGAAAGATGGATTCTACTCCACCTTGTGGCCCCCGTGGTTTGAGTCACCTACAGGGGCTGCCTGGCCGGCTCAGACTCTGTGAGCTACCGGGACCCTAGGCTGGCCTGGCCGAGCTAGGAGGGGTGGGAGATGGAGGACGGGGGTCACTGAAGGGGATGGGTGAAGATGCTGGAGCAGGAGCAGGGATTGCTGCCTGGAAAGCTGAGGAGGCCTCTCCACACAGGCTGTGATGGGGATTACTCCAGTGGCTCTGCAGGGTAGGTGAGGCTGGGCCTTGGGATGCACAGGCCTGTGCATGCCTCGTCCCAAATTCTCCTCCCCACATGCTCTGCTCCCACAAGCCTTCACAGAGACTTTGCCACAAGGTAAACCAACCACCTGTCACGCAGCTCCCCACAGGTGCCTCCCACATTCCAACACATCTCCCTACTCTCCTCATAGCCCTTTGCTGAGCCCTGCCTATGCCTCCCCAACTGCTCTCAACAGCGCCCCCGATGCTGGGGCACTTCAAATCATTGCTTTTCCCCAACACATAGAGGACTGTATTTTCCGAACCCCAAAGGTGGACCATGGTTTGACCGTGGATTGAATGTCTGGATAGGCACCGGCCAGGACACACTGCCCTCGGCCCACACCACATACCAACACCTACTTTAAGCAGAGTGCCCTGGGATGCTCACTCCACCTCAGAGAAAGGAAGGGGAGTCTTGAACCATGGTCACCCTGGGCAAAAGCACAGTCCCTGTGGAGAAGGCCTGGCAAGGGCACCAAGTGTTCCCAGAGAGGGTTTTCGCTGCAAATGAAAAATCGCTCTGCAGGCTCCCTGGGGCACCATGCCTCTCAAAGTGATCTTGAATGGTTGGGTGCGGGCAGGGGGGGGGGGGGAGTTATTGTTGCTCCCAAACCAGGTTGGGGGCTATCTTAGGGCATTCGGGGACTGAGAGTTTGGATGACAAGGAGTTTCAGATACGATGGGATTCAGTCCTGCTCCCATGCTTGTAGCTGGAAGGAAGTGCTATTACTGGAAAATGAGGCTCATCTTAGATCCCCTTGGAAGAGAAGAGACAGGTTTTCTCTGTGGGATGGTCTCAAGGCTCTACTCTCGTGCCATGGTCAGTGAGCATCCCTGGCCTCTCTTTAGAGAGGACCAGGGGTGGGGTAAAAGCCCTATCTCTCCTCCTCAGCCCTCCCTAGACACCAGGGAATGCCCGGTGGGTGAGGAGTCCTCTCTTCATCTGACTCCATCTCAGTCATCTGCCCTGCTGTTAGCATTCATCTGGGTGCCCTGCTCCAGAGACCCGTCCCTTGTTCCCACTGCACCCCACGCAGGGTGGGGGGAGTGGGGTGCCAACAGGCCAAGTGCCCTGATGGGGGCAGAGCCCTTGTGGCCACCATTTTATGTGACCCCTGTTCTCCAGAATTTCTTACACAGGGATCATCTGAAGTCCCTGCAGGTTCCCTTGGCCCTTCCTGGCCTCTTGCTCAGTCTTTCCAAGAGGACTTGATTGAATCCAGCACTTCCCCCACCTTGGGCAAGTTGTTTCATTCTGTCTGAGCCTCAGTTTCCTCAAATGTAAAATGGGGTTAATCGCACCTTAATTTATGCGAGGCCCTTCACACTGAGCCTGGCACACAGTAGAGCCCAGGAAGTGTCTCCTCCCCTCCCCCTCTCACAGCACAGGGGACAAGGGAGCTGGTATGTGGGCTCCAGAGTATAGTGTTCCCAGAACCTTCACCAATCCTCCCCGCTGATTCTCTGGCTTCCTGTGAATAACAAGAGCAACTACTTGTGGGGAGTCTCTGATTGGCCCGGCACCGTGCCATGCGCTCATTTTATCCTTGCATTCATTCACAGTGGAAATCAAAGCTTAGGATAAGTGGCTATTAACAGACGGAGAGAGAGTATGCTAAGTCAGGGCTCCTGGGCAGCAGACGGCCCTTCAACTCTCCACCCCCCAAAGTGAACTCATGGGCCACTGGGCTCTGAGGTTCTCTGGAGAAAGCCCAGACCCAGGGTGCTTCCTTCCCCAGCTGACTGCAAAGCCTGAGACGAAGAGTAATGGTTTATTGAGTTATGTGGTAATGGTGGGTTGTCTTTAAAAAAAAGGAAGAAGCATCAAGGAGAGAAGCCCAACATGGCAGGGAGACAATTCACTGAGAGGCCAAAGTCTGGGGGTGGAAAGAGGGAAGCTTGACCCAAACAGAGCTTCATTTACAGTATTTACAGTCAGGCTTTGGGGGCAAGGGCTGCGGGGGGCCGGAGAGGGCACCTCCATGCTGGCTTCAGGGGGTTGCCACAGGGACTCTTCGGTTGCTGTGGGCTGGGGCTGCAGGCCGCATACCTGGCTTGGCAGGGGCTGTCGAGGGAGGGAAGTGAGTCCCCAGCAATACTGCCTTGCCCTGCCCGGGGGCAGGGCTGGAGCTCACTCCCCAGGAGCCGCAGGGGCCCTTGGGAATGTCTGTCAAGCTGTCGTCAGTTGGTCTGGCTGCGAAGGAATGATCCACAGGAGGAGAACCTGGGGTGTGCTCACACATTCTCAGCAGCAGGCAAAAGGAAGGCCCGATGACCACCAGGTGGAGCTTCTGGCTTCCACTCCACCCAGCCCTTAGCCCTGGCCAAGAGAGAGGTGCAGAAAAGCCAAGCAAGCTGGGTGGAGGAGGTGGACAGCAGGAGTCTCAGCTGTGGGGCAGCCAGACGGGACTCTCCGTGAGGCTGTGAGGGACAGTCCTGGTGCCCGGCTGCGGTGTGTGGGCTGGACAGGCGTGCTCACAGCCCGCGCCTGCAAGAGCGAGTTGATGGTAGAGCCATGGGTGCCTCTGTGTGGCCTGAAGCCCATCAGGCGCCCAAGTGTCATCCCTCGCAAGCTCCTCGGCTGTTCCCTCTTCTCTCCATATTTCTCCTCCAATTTTGTATCTTTTGGAATGGGACAGTTCTCTCTCCCTGGGACTCCTGCCCCTCATTAAGGAGTTTTAGAGGACAGTTTGGCCTTCTCCAAAGTCATCCTGTCTTTCATGGTTCATTAAATCAACCACACAGGGAGTGAGCCGCAATGCTGGACTTGTGGTTATTTTTCATGTAATAAATAAAGATTCCTTTGTGTGACTCTCTGGGGCCTGTCCCAGGCCAAGTCCTCCTGTTGCTCAGTTGCTCCCACTGTCCCCATAGCAACTACAGATGGTCAAAGGCCGTGGCGGTGGTGGGTGGCGCACTTGGCCTTGATGTGGAACTGTAATAATATGGGGAACCTGGACATGTTAAAAAAAAAAAAAATAACAACAACACTGCTGGTCAGAAGGGGAAATTGCACCATAGCCTCTCCTGCATCTGCTAACCTTGAAGACAACACAAGTTAATCATCTACCCCTCTGGCCTATCTGATCATCAAAGATTAACTCCTCTCTGGCCCTATTTCCTCCTTCTCTGGCCTCACCTTTGCGTTTCTGGCCAGAATGAGAACTGTGGCTTCTTGCCCCTCCTCCCATGACTGCTTTGACCTTCAACACCCTCATTTCAGGGAGAGGGCAATTGAGAGCAGTTGCATCTGGAACCTTGGAGAACCAAGCACACTGGGGGGTTCCTGTGGCCTTCCCCAACCTTACCCAAATAGTGCGAGGTCAGAAAATTTTCCTTTTAGGGCCAAGGATTAGAATCCTGACTGGCCACGGAGGATGTGTATTTGAGGGCCTCCATGGGGAGGCTCTGCCCACCTGAAGGATGGGCAGCCCAGGTAGGCTTGGCAGGGAGGTGCCCTGCCACCTGGCCCAGCTCAGCCCCCTTCATTCCTTTCTGGCACAACTGAACAGAAAAGTGGCTTGGAGTTGAACCCATCTGGCAAACAGAGCCCAGGTTAGCAACTCTCCCAGTCATTTCTGGAATGCCAAGAGGTAATGGCAGGAGAGGGGAGGTGGGTCCTAGGAAATGGATGGTCCTACCTGGCCTGTGATAGCACCCATGGGTGGGCCACACTTGCTCCATTGCTCAGATTTGCTCTGAGACCCTCAAGGGAGACTCTAGTGGAATTCCTCAAGTTCCCCATTTATGGGGCTTGATTTCCTAAAAAAGCATCTCTACCCAGCCTATGGCCCCAGGGCAAGAGAGGAGTGAAGAGTAGCCCAGAGCTTACTCTCTGGATCTCCCTCCCAAAGGAGATCTCAAGCCAAATATCAAGCCAAATATCAGACACATGAACAAAAGATCCCATTGGAAGGGTTTCCGCGTGGAATAATGAGCGCTGGGGCACCACTTAGATGGTTAATGTGTGCGACAGGCTGGCCCTGTTTGCCAACAGCATGCTCCCAGGCAGGAGGGCAGTTGGTGCTCCTGCAGGGTGCCCCCGCTTCAGTGTCCCTGCTGCTGGACTATGAGCCCCTGAAGGAAGAAGTCCACTCTGAGACGTTTCTTGAGTTCACCCTTGCCCTCCCAAGGCCTGAGCCCCAAATCTTACGAAAAACAGATTTCAGAGACATGGCCTCAGGCAGTAAGAGGGAGAATGATGCAGAGAAATCTCCTGCTTATGTGCTCTCCCTCCAAACAGCCGGGTCCTCTGCCTTCCCTCCACCTGCTTGGACTGCCAAGAACACCTGTCTCCCCAGGCCCTCCATTTAACCTGGGCATCCTGGCTGCCTTTGAGGCAGACTTTCGGCCCCGCCTTGTCCCCCAACCTTGCCCCACACAGCAGAGGGCCTGGGTGATCCCAGGGGGACTTACTCAGCAAGCTGGAGTTGGGGAAACGCCAGGCCTCGCCGTAGGAGGAGTAGGGGGTGTGGCCGTAGGCATTGCCAGAGTATTCGCTTCCTGTTGGAGGCACACAGGTGAGAGGCCTGTGAGGTGGACACACCAATGTAGGCTTGGGGGTCTGGGACGAGGGTCTGCAGGGCTGGGCACTGGGCCCAGGGACAGCATGAGCTTAGAGGCCTCTCGATCCACTCTTTGGGGGCCCTTAAGTCTGCATGAGTTTGGACAGGGCCCTTTATCGCCAGGTATCAGAGTCACTGCCCTGACAAGCTCAGACCTCCTAGCTACCCCAGGAAGGAGGGAATACTATAATGCTCATCTTCCAGGTAAAGAAGCTAAGCCTTGGAGATCTGAAGAAGCTCACATAGCAGAAGGGTTTGGTGGTGTTTGGAAACTGTGCTGTGACTCTTAGCACCCAGGTTCTAGCCACCTTTTCTGCTGCCTGGACCTCCAGCCGAAGGCTGTTCCAGAAGGGGCTGAAGGGAGTGAGAGAGGTCAGAAACAGCAGGAGGAGGAATCAGCATTTATAGACTTTTTAGCCTCCCTAGGTCTGAGTTTGTTAGGGACCGGTGTGTGGGGCAGTGGCAGTGAGGGGAGGGGTGCAGGGGATTAGGGGAAGGAGCAGAGGGAAGAGCCCTGCAGGGCACCGACCTCTGTGTCCTGGGACTTGTTCTGAGGATGCCCCCACTCCCATTCCATTTGCACTTGAAGCAAACTCAGTGCATGAATTTAAACAAAGTAAATCAGATCGCCAGGAGTCGCAGAAGTCACTTGGCTCCCAATAGCAGATGAGATTTTGAAAGGTAGTCCGGACATTGGGTGAGAAAGGACATTGGGTGAGAAATCAGATCACCTCTGTGAGTTTTTGGCTTTACCAAAGGAATGATTTTCCAAAGAAATCACGTAAGGATTCCCTTAAACAACAGCAACAAAGCCAAGCACACCAGTCCATTACCATCGGTACTTGGTAGGGAGCTTAAAGTCTGCAAAACGCTTTCCTACACACTAGGCTCCCTTATCCTCGAGCATCATATGAAGCACCCATTAATACCACCAATTTCTAGAAGATGAGTGCGGCAGGATTAAGCAGTTTCCCTCAAATCACAGCGTTGGTAAATGGCAGAGTAGAACTTGACCTTAGGGCTCTTAACTCTGGATTCCAGATAATCCCTTTATGTGTTTCTGAGCCAATTACCTCTCCAAAGCCAGGTTCCTGCCAACCCTGCCATCCCTTGAACGTCGGCATTGCCTTTCAAAACCTCGTTGCTATTGGGAGGTGAGTGCCTTCTGTGGCTCCTGGTCTCTTTCAGACTCTGGAAAGGAAGCTTGAAAACTGCCTGGCTCTCAAGCTGGCCTGCCTGAAGTCAAATCCCTGCTCCCTACTTCCTAGCTGTGTAACCTTGGACAAATTGCCTTGATTTCCTTATCTGTAAAATGGGGGAAAATTATTGTCCCCATCTCATGGGGTTTATTGAGGATGAAATTAAAGAATATACATTAAATGGCTAGCCCCACACTTGGTATATGAAAAGCACTCCAAAAATGCTAGCTTTTGTTATTTTCCCAATAAGCGGGTGCTAGAATAAAGCTCAACAGAGGATCACAAATGAAAAAACTGCTCCCTAGAGAGGGAAAGACATTTGTCCCAGGTCCATGTTCAATTAGAGCTAGAACCATGGTCCCTAGCTCCTACTCCAGGGCTCTTTCTTGTATCCAACAATGCTAACTGTTCTCCACTTACGGCTGGTGTACCTCAGAACTGCCTGGTGTCAGAGAACCCTAGGAAGAAGCCGATTCTATTTGGGCTCCACAGCCAGGGCCCCGTGCCTTTCCCTCCACCTGGTGCCAAACACTGCTGGCTCCAAAGGAATAGAGGTGGAAAATACAAAGGGCTTCCTCTCTCATTTTCTCACTTATTCATGCCTTCACTCACTCACACACTTACTCACTTATTGAACACACATTCACCAAGTACCTATGTGCTTCAGGCACCCAGAAGGTGGCATAGGGCTTCGGGCTCAGGAGGCAGCACACACTTGGGTGCAGCATCTTCCCACCGCCAGATCTGTCAACCAGCCTGCAGCCATGGTGGATGAAACGCCCCTGCACCCACAAAAGCCCAACCCATCCTCTTTGCTCTGCATCCCACCCCACCCCACTCACCTCTCCAAGGACTTGGCCCCTACAATCTATCCCTTCCATTTTTCTGCTTCATTGATTTCTCCCTTCCTAATTTACCACTTTCTCTAGCTGGCAAACATGCTCTGCCATCTTCTGTTTTAAAAATTGTCTCCCTGCCCCACATCCAGCTCGCTGAAGCTTTCTGTGCTTCCTGATGTCTGCCCTCACTTCCTCATTCCTGTCCAATCGGGCCAGTGATGATCCTCTGAAATCCCACAAATTCCACCCTGATCATTCCAATGGTCACTTCTAGGCCTGCTCCTGCCCCCCCAACCCCCCCCCCCCCCCCCCCCCCCCGCCAAACCTCCTTGCTGACTGTGATTCAGGTCATTGCTCCCTCTACGCCTTTGGGTTTCATGATGCCTCTGCTATCAGATCCACTGTCCTCTCCCACTCACTCTCCTTGGTGGTTTCTTCTCTGCTCAAGCTCTAAATGCTGAAGGCTTGGTTTGTGAGCCCTCTGTGATTTTCCATCCACATTCTCTCTCTAGTGATCTTGTCTAATTCCTTGGCATTAAATAACAGCTCAGTGTAATGGCTGAAATTTATGCCCTGGCCAGAATTCTTTCCTGACTTCAGACATATATCATGTGCCTACTGACTTATTAAACTGGATATCTGGAGGTGTCTCAATTCTATTATGGCCCAATAGAATTCTTGATTTCCACCTGCCACACATTCTGCATCTTCCTCTCCAGGTCTCCCACATATATACTTGCCACCACCACCAGTCATGCATTTTCCCAAGCCCCAAGCTTAGGAGTCATCCTTGTACCCTCTATTTTGGAACCCCTATGGCCAATTCACCAGTAAGTGTTGTTGGCTGTACCACTAAATAATCCTCAGTGTCTCTTTTCTCTTCCCTCACTGCTACCTCCCCAGCTCAAGCCACCGTCATGTCTTGAATGAACTATTGAAATTGTCCCTCCTCTAATTGGTCTCTATGCTTCTACTTTTGACTATCTACAATGTGTTTTCCCAGTTGCCTGGGTAGTCTTAAAATTTGACCAAGCCACTTCCCAGATCCTCTCACTTTATAGTGTTTTCCCCATTCACTTGTTGTTCTTGGATATACTCACCCCCTTTTTATGTGTGATCATGCTAAACTAGTTCCTGCCTTGGGGCCTTTGCACTTGCTGTTCTTTTGGGCTGGGGATGGTTTGCTCCAGTTTATCACTTGGCTGACCACTTTGAATACCTTCTCAGAGAGGTTTCTCCTGTTCATCCAATCTAAAGTAGTTATCTCCTCTCCCTGTGGCTCTTTATGACATTATTCTATTTTATTGTCTTCATGGCACTTATCATTATCTGAAATTATCTTGTTTATTCATTCATTGACTTGTTTACTGTACTTTTTCCCCCCACTGTTAGGTTGTAAGCTCAATGAATAGAGGGACCTAACTTGTTCACCCCAGCATCCTATACCATAGTACTCAACCAGTTTTTACTAGGTGAAAAAGAGGTGAATGTATGGAAGGATGCAAGAATGGTTGAAAGATTGGGTAAGGATGGAGGATGGGAAGATGGGTAGGTGAAGGAATGGATGTGTGGAAGCATATATGGATAGACAGATAGATGAATGGATGGATAGATGGTTAGATGGGTGAGTGGATGAGTGGATGGAAGCATAGATGGGTCAATGAAAGGATGGATCTAAGGAAGGATGGATAGATGAATGGATAGAAGGAACAATGGATGGGAAGAAAGAAGAATGGAATGATGGATGATGGAAGGATGGGAAAATGGGTAAGAAGATTCACAGATAGATGGAAAAATGTGTATAAAGATGCATGGATGGAAAGCTGGGTAGATGGATGGATGGATCCATCTATCTGGAGTTGCCAGTTCAGCCCTAGAGCTGGTGTGAGGGTCATCAACTCTGTTAATGGGGCAGGAGCAACAACCACCACTATGAGAAGGCAAAACAGAAGATGAGTGGATATGAGAAGTCTGTCCTGGTCCTGTTCTTGTGTTGCTTTCTTATAGCTTGTGTTGTTATTTCTAGTATTGTGGGAGGCAGTGTGGTATAGTAGAAAGAGCCCCAGATTTGAATTAAAAAAGACCTGTGTTAATGAACAGCTCAGCCACGTAGTATAGTTCATTAAGACCCTCAACACACTAAGTTTGTTTCCTTATCTTTATTAAACCAGAATAATACCAGCCTCCTAATCTTATGTGAGGATTAAACAAGAAAGTTACATCTATGAATGACCAGGCACACAGAAGTACATAATAAATTATCTTTGCCTTCCTTCCACTAATGATTGAGGAATGTCATTAGCATGCCTTGTTTTAAGCCTGTATTCTGAACCTGGCACACAGTAGGTGCTCAGTGAAGGTTTATTAATTGTAATGGAAGGAATCGCCATTCAGTTCACTGGGAGATTGTGGCTACTGGTAAGGGATGGACGAATAATATTTTATGAAAAAAACAGTTCCTTAAGAATTCATTTGTACCAAGGAGTTCCTAGGAACCAGATGATGCATTTAAATAGTATTGCATTTTCTGAAAACTAATTTACACATAACTTAGTGGGGAGCCCATGCCCTGTGTAAGGCAAGGTCCACCCCTTTTGCAATTCACTGGTAGTTGATGCTACACTTGTGCTATTTTTTTTCCACAACACTCACTCAGGATGAGATCTTTCTGGAAACACCTGGGTGCCTTTGATGAGAGGCCCAAACCTTCTAGCTACCTCACAGGTCAAACTCCAGGCCCCAGGACCCCCTTGCCCTGGGCCTGGCCCCAGGGAATGATTCATAATTAAGAGAAAAGCCCTGTGCTTTATGTTTCCTCCTCCTCCTCTAAGCAGGCGGCAGGGGAAGGTGGAGAGGTTGGAAGGGGGATGGGGGGAGCCGACTGGAGCCTGGGATTTTGATTGAGAGGCCCCATTATCCACACTCTTAAAAAAATAACCGAATCTTTTCCTTTTTTATCTTGACCAATCTCATTTCACGCTCCAGAAGAGGAAAGGAGGGAGGGAGGGAGTCCAGGGCCAGGAGGGAGAGAGGAGTCAGTATTCTGTATTTTCAACGCTGCATTAAGCACATCGCCACGGTAACCAGGCAGCAACAAGTGCCAGCTCAGCAGGTTCCCAGGGAGTGCAGAGACCTCCTTCCCTCCCTCTTCTCCCTCCCCTCCCTCTACCCAGGAGAGCCCAGCCCACCTGCAGCACAGGGAACCCAGAGTGGGTGGCTGGCAAAGAATAACCTCTGTCAGGGAGGGAGGGAAGCAGACCTGGGTGAATGTGCTAAGTCTCTGGGGTCAGAGCCATGGAGGCTGACCCACGGTTGGCATGGGGGTCACAGATGCCCTGATTCAGAGCCTGTTCTAGAAGCTCCAGGTCCTGGGCCTCTAGAGGCAGTACAAATGACTCGATTCTGCTCTATCCACCCTTGGGTCCTTCCCATGTGGTTCCTAAAAAAGACATTCTCCTTGTCCTCCTCAGTTGCCTAGAGCTTGACACTCTGGGTCACTGTTAGGTGATGATCATGCTGGTAGACAAGGAACCCAAAGGACTGGCAGGCAGGAATCCAAGACAATCCAAATGATGATGGAGAAATCCTCCCAGTTTATCTCCCTGTAGTACCTTTGGAGTATCCAGAACTTGGGTCTCACCCATGCAGGGCTTAGTGCGGGGTGTAATAGAAGGTATATTTCAATCATCTTCAACATCATCATCACCAACACCATTCATACTCAGATTTTACAGAAAGGGCATACAGATTCATCAGAGTGAAATAACTGGGAGACCGTGGGTTGCTCAAGTGCCAGGCTGGTGTTTAGCTCATGCTGTTCTGTGGACCCCTAGAGCGCTATCCATCAAGGCTCACTGAGTCAGTGGAAGAAATGGCAGAGCTTAGATCTGAACATTGGTCTGTCTCAGGTCTGCCCATTTCATCATGAGGAATCTGGGAGCATGTGGGAAGAAGGAGGCTGAGTGGGGGAGAGTTAAGGAGCTAGGACCACAGCAAAATCCTGGCTCCAGGCATATATAAGATGTGCTCTTTGGGAAATCGATGCATGGGACACACCCTACCTCTCTGTCCCCTCTTGCTTCACCTTTGGCCAACACTTCCTATTTGTAGCACTCCCCTCCTGCCCAGCCCGTCCCCTTACCTGCCACCATGCCTGCGATGGCAGAAGAGGCATAGCTGCCCTGTCCACTGGTGGGGATGTGGGGTGGGTATCCGGGCAGTGTGGGTCCCACCATCTCTCTCCCTGGAAAAACACAGCAAGGAGCCATTAGTTAGGCCATCGTGGGTTCTTGCACTTCTTGTCTTGCTTCCCTGAGGCTCAGCAAATCTTTCCTCATGCCACGGCCACTCTCTCCAAAGCCATTCTCCAGAACCCACTTCCCCCTCCTCCATCCTCTGAGTTCAAGCTTCTGCCTGTGTCTGGCCTTCCAGAGGACACAGGCTCCACCACACAGGGAGCACTGCCTATTGCAGTCCTGTATTGTGGCCCATCCTCCAATGATTTTATTTGCATGAATCTTAATTCACCCATAAAAATGGCATGGTATTGGAGGAAGACTGGGGGCTTGGTCTTCTGCGTCTTTGTTATCCCTTGGTGTCCAGCACAGCAGTGGGTGCAGCTGGCCTAAGTAATACATTAGAGGCTACTGGGCTCAGACCTTATGCTCTTCCAGCCCCAGCTCTGAGGATCAAGAACAAGGCCCTACAAGGGATGGCCCAGGTGTGGCCTTTTGGTCACCATCCTTAACTACTCTTCTTGGACCTGTGGCAGACATTGCTAATCAATCACTGTACTCTTTTCCAGTGGGCCAGAGAGGGCATTGGTCTCTTCAACCTGGCCTTCCAGGTGGATACAACCTATCAGAGCTGTAAAGGACACAAAACCTATTGGCTATTCCTGACCTAGAAAGGAGATGCGGGCTGAGAGATATTTAGTGTTTATACATGAACATGAACCACCTATCTGCCAAGTCCATTCCTGAAAGGGGAAAAAAACATTTTCAGCCAAACAGGCACCCATCTCTCTCTGTCATTTGTGGGTAATGCCCTTGCCTTGGTGGCAGCGAGGCAGCTCTGTAGAGACCTGATTTCCCTGGCTCCACCTCTTCCTTACACCTGGAAGTCGAGCCTTCCCATTTTGGAGGCTCCATCTGACTAGGTGAGTTTCTTCCAGAGCCGAGATATCCTACAGGCCCAGATCAGACTCTCCCTCACCCAAAGATCTTTGGCAATACATCCTGGTTTGCCCACACCTGTCTAGGTTATGACCACTGTCCCAGCATATTTATTAATAATGTCCATTTCACTCTCAAATGCCCCGGTGTGAATGATGAATTATTTTGTCATCGCAGCTCTTGGTGATACTTAAAGGTTTTCTCAGCTTCAGCACCACTGAATTGGGGCCAGAAAACTCTGTGTGGGGCCATCCTATGCACTGCAGGATGCTCAGCAGCAGCCGTGGTAACTACTCACTAGATGTCAGTAGCAGTTCCCACACCCCAGTGTGACAATCGTAAATATCTTCAAATATTGCCTTATGTTCCCTGGGTGTAAAATCACCCTGAGTTGAGAATCTCTCTGTTCAATTATTATGGCCATTTTACCCAAATGCCTCTGCTTCTTCCATGCTGAGGGCTATTTTTCTCCTAGGGCTTACATGGACTCCCTGTAAGCCTCTCAACCAACTTGCCAAGGTCATCCCCTCTACATTACTGCTTGTCCAACTTTTCTCCCTGAGGTCCCCCCAGGGTCCTACATGCTTTGAACTCTTCAGGGGGTAGCCAGGGATATTAAAAGGGAAGGTATGTCCCGTGGAACCTTATGAGTTGTCAATACCAGAGTGACAAACTCTTACCTCTTACCCTGAAGACAATTTGTGCATTCAGTAAAGATTTATTAGTAAGTATAATGTCCTAGGCACTTTTTCTGAGTACTGGGGATACAGCAGTGAGTAAGAATGCTAAGTTAGCAAGACCAGCCATTAAATCAAGATGGGGCATGAGCTGGGATGAGCATGTGGAGCCAAGCCTAGGGATTAACAAACAAGACCACACCTTCTGGTCTTCTGCTCTTTCTCTGGATGGAAGGGTCTAGGAAGCAGATGACCTCAGTCCTTATCCTGCTTCTATAGCTAATTTTCCAAATGCCCTTCAACCAGCCACCTATGTGCCCAAGCTTGTTTCTTCACGTGCAAAATGTGAGAAAAACAGTAAGAGTAGCCTTGTGCACCTTATTACTACTGCTATGGTGTTATCAGCATAATTCAGAGCCAGGGTTTCATGTTACAGGTGGGCACTGAGTGGTGCAATGGACAAATTCCATAAATTGTGACATGTCATGGGAACCATTATAGAATAAGTCCTATTTGAAATGAGCCATCAGTGATCATTATTTAAAACTATGTGAGTGTTTTCATAAAAATGAATATCACCTCCTAATTTAAGAGTTTGTCAAGAGTTAAGTCAAACTAGAGTTTGACTTCTAGTACGAAGGGCAGCTATGGTTGGTGTTGGACCAAAGAGGGTGAAATCTACTGGAATTTTACAGGTGGGTTCAGTTCAATTGACCCAAAGTCCTGAACAAATGAGGGATTGGAAACCCAGGTGAGGCAAGGAAATTTTAGTATATTTAGAAGTAGGAAAATACGCAGGATCTATACCAAGATAAAATCTGGTCTTTCTTTGAAGACTGCAGTACTATCAACTATCAGACTCAGCCCCCTCGGCCCTCAGATGAAGCACTTGGCCAGGTACTGGAGCCTATGAGAGCAAGGGGGGGGACAAGAAGCCTGTGAGAGCAGTAGGAATACAGAGGATAGACAGGTGCATGCATAGAAGAGTGATGGAAGAAGGTGATGGCTAATTCAAGCTCGATGCCTTCTCTCTTTCCTCTTCCTGCTTCCTCCTCTGAGAGAGAGATAGAGAGAGACAGCACTTGCAGGCACAATGTGTTGAGCAGGATTCTGAGGCTGCATCTGTGTCTACCATGACTGGGGCTGGAGTTGAGGAGGTAAGTCTTGACTCTCAGGCCACCTCTTTGCTGGTACTGGCCTAGGTGCTCTCCAGGGCTCCCTTGGCCCTGGAGCCCTGTGGTCTCACACTCTCCTTTCTCTAGCCCTTCTCCATCCCTGTCCATCAACTGACCCTACTGCTTCTTGATCTTTGTGGCTCCATGGGCAGAGCACTAGGGCACGTGCTCCCCTGAAGGCACAAATTAATGAAGTCACAGTTGCCCTGTGGGACCCCATCCCATGAAACTAGCCCTTAGACTGCTTTTAGATAAAAATTCATCAACCTCACTCACTTAAATTCTGAGATTTTAATCTTCATCTCTCCTTGGTCACCAAATTTTCTCCCAGTGGGGCAGAGGTTTCTGAATCAAATGCTGGAGGAGACCCCAAAAGTGTCCATGAAACTTGGCCCTCCAGGAAAGCCTAGGAGGACTTTCTATAGGATGGCTCTCACCCAGCATGTGGTACCTTAAACTCTCCTATCAATCTTTCAAAACTTTGTTTCAGTTCCTTAAATACATGGTTTCTTCCAAAAAGCCGAGAACCTCACAACCTTCTCAGAAATGAAGCCACAGAAGCCATGAGGTAGATTCACTCCAAAATGGCCTGTGACTTTTAATTGACTTATTTATTTTTAAGGCTCTTCATCACTAGTTTCTTTGATTTGTAACTCCTCTGTACTCAAATATACTTCCAACATGGCCCTGTTTTTGAAAAGGTGATGTAGACGCAGGTCCATGTTGGCTGGCTGTCAAGTGGGGTTCTATAAGAAAACACTAGCACCCCCAGAAATATTGGTAAATGTTCTAAATATTGGTGGCATTCCTTGGAGGAATTCAGAGGGTAGAGGTGATTTCAGACAATTTTATTTGCCCACTTTGATGTCTGCCCTCTATGTGACCCTTTTCAATTCCTTATCTTGTTCTGATAGCAAAGAAAATTTATAGCAATCCAGAAATCTCTTTGGCAGGACTAAATATAATTTCTCACAAAAGAATGGAGGCGGGTAATGGACTGTTTGATGATAAAACCAAACTCAGAGCTTTCTGATCAGCTGAGCTGGAATCAGCCCTGAAACATCCAGGGCAGGGACAACCTCGATATCACTCTTACAAGTGTGTGGGGACCCAGACTGGGGCATTTGAAGGGAAATGGCAGGAATATTAGGGGCAATCCTATTGTTTCCCAAACTCTGATGCTTCTTCTTTTTCTGAGTTGGGAGAAGCTGAGACTCAGAAGGACAGTCACCCTGGAAATTGTGCTAACAAAGCCACTGGGTGAGGAATAGAAGTGACCCCAGGAGGAGACCATGAAGCAGCAGGGAGGGTCCTTAGGAAGCCATTCAGAGGAGGAGAGCGGGAGGGCTCTGGGAGGTGAGGGCCAAGCTGAATCTGGAATGAAAACTCACCTGGCCTGCCTATTCCTCTTGTCTGCAGCCCTCCCTCAGAATAATTTAGTCTTGGTTACCTTCTCTTTAAGTTCATCTTTTCCTCCCTTGGATCGGTTTCTAGCCCCTCAGACTCTTGAGATCCTTCCTCCTAATCCTCCTTCTCTCTGGATGTCCTCCCAGCCTGCTCACCATGGCTCAGCCACGTGGTAGGTATTTAGGTCCCTTCTTGACCATAGGCTGCAGGTGGACAGTCTTCAGGGAGCTCCAGTTCAACACTCTGGGCTCTGCATGGACACCAGTCATCATGTACTTGGTGCCCGAGCCACAGAGCTGGCCTTCCTCTGAACTGCAGTCCTGACTTGCTTCCTGCTCTTGGCAACCTGCCTGGACCCAGTCTCTCTAAGCCTGGGCACCTCTTGCTTTTCTCAGAGCACCTGCCTTTGGTGCCACATCTTTAGTTCTTGAGCTGGGCCTTGCAGCTCACCATTGGCTTTCACAGGGATCACACCCTATCCCCTGGCATGTGTTGCCAGCTTCTTTACCCCATGCAGTAGATGACCTTCCAGTCCGGCAGTTGGTCTGAAGAGTAGGCATGCCTACTAAACTAAGAACTGACAGAGGTTGGAAGTGGCATCCTGGTTTGATTGCATATTGATAGGGAGTACTTGAAGCCCTAACAGGGTGACAGAGAAGAGAGAAAGTATGGGGGCTTTGGAGTAGGGAGTTTGCTCTGGGCTGTTCCAAATATCCAAGACCACTTCCTACTGCTATCTGCCCTTCCCTCTCCACTCAAGTGGAGCCTGCCAAGGGGCCTTCCCACTTGGGGCCTGCCAAGTCTCTGGGAAACTCACATAGTAACTTAAGTCCTGCTCCCCATTGTCACATGATTTTCCCACACCTTAGCCCTTGCCTGCCTTATTGCAGCCCTCCTGGTCGGGGCCTGCCATTCACACAAAGCAGGCAGCCTCACCCAGTGATTGGGCCTCTCCACCCCACAGTGGATGTGAGTCTCTTTACTCCCTGGCTCCCCTCTCACCCTCCTTATCCCATTTTCTCTAGCTGACATCATTCCACTCAGCTCACAGATTTTTCTCCTTTAATCATGTTGGTCAAAACAAATGACCCATCTCCACTGACTTCACCCGCTTTTGAAATTTTGAACTCTGAGTCAACATTTGCTTCCTTGCTCCATACCCCAAAACACCGCCTCTCTGCCCACACACTGGACTTCCCTTGTTAATCCTTTAACTCTGTGCCCACTCCTTCCAAGAGGACTTCCCACATTAAATGTGGGGATGCACAGAGAAAATAATCCCAGGTGCCTGCCAGACAGGATATGTAGAGTCAGTTATGAGATAGAGTCTGTGAACTTAAATTCAAGATGACCTTGTAGTCCCTCTGGGCAGGTAGAGGTCTTATTCTTCTGGTTTGGTGGTTTTCAAGTCCAAGGGCTTTCAGGGGGCATAGTCCCTACTTCAAACAGAGTAGCTCTTCATTTGTCTGGTTTGGATACCTGGCTTCTATAAAAGCTATCATGTCAAGAGAGCGTTCTGAGGTCCAGTAAGTTGAAAACCACTGGTCCAGAGGGCTGGCTCACTTTTGGCTTCCTCCATGTGTTCTAGTTCAATGCCTTGGGCCCACATCTAAAATAGTCTCATCTCTGTGGAAGCCCATCAGATATCTGAAGACTATCATGGGTCTCTGCTCCCTTTTTTCTTTCCATCTCAGGCCTTCTGCCCAAGCCAGATGTCTACCCGGACTCTTTCGGCTGCTGCCCAGGCCCTGGCTGGATGGGCTCATGTCATTCTGCTAGGGAGGTCTGAGCCCTAGCCGGTGCACACAGGCTGAGCCCTCGACTCTGCCAGATGCCACATGTGTATTCAGGAACCATGACCAGGCCCTTCTCCTTCTTGGGCCTGTTCCCATCAGTATAAGGAGAGATTTGCTCTAGATGCCCCTAAGGTGCTTCCAGCTGTAAACGTTTTGAGGCCAACGAGGTTCCTGATGGGAGGTTCTCCTGTTCTCCCATCTCTCAAGCTGGTGAGTTACTCTGCTTCAGTGTTCTCCAAGGGAGACCCTGTTAAGCTGGGTACAAGGAGAGCTACACTATGGGGATCCAATGGGGACCGACCCTCTGTTTTCTTTAAAAATTCCATCCAGAAACTGGCTACAAAAGCCAATGACTTTTTCCCTCCAAAGTTCTTTTTTGTTTCTCATCCAGACCAAGGGTTCACTGCTCTATACTGCCTGGCTCCTAGCCTTAAGGTCTCTCCTCGTGTCCGTGGGTCTTTGGGGCGAGGTTCTAGAAATCGGCCAGGCACCCCACTTCCTGGCATCCCCAGAGTGCCTGCCCACCCCCATGGCCGACCCCGCCAGGGCAGGGGAGCACCACATCTCGGCTTGTGCAAAAGTTGCAGGAAGATTTAGGGAAGAGAGTGAGGGTGGACTGGGCCGAGGGCCGGAGAGGGGGCTGGACCCCAAAGCAGGGGGTAGTGGCCGGCCCTGAGGACCCCCCTCCCCCCCCCCGCGAGAGCTGCACGGCCCGGGACCTCCCTGTCGTACCTGAGAGGAGGGCCTGGCCCGTGAACTGCCCGTACACGGAGGCAGCATGGGGAAAGGCATTGAAGGGCGGGACCGAGGCACCGGCTGGGACCCCGGCGCCGCCGACTTGCTGCAGATCCAAAAAGGCGGAGCTAGATAAAGAGGAAGGGGTGGAGCTAGAACTGGACACCTCGGGGGTTTCCTGCTTTATGGCGAAGGGTGAATGAGGATCTGCCGGAGGGAGGGAGACAACAAGGAGAGAGGGGTGTGAGATGATGGGGTGGGCACATGCACGAACCCAGCCATGAGATGTGGGGGGTGCGGGCGGGGCGCTGGGGCAGGCGGCTCCTCTCTGCGCTGGGGGCGGCGGGCGGGTGCGCGTGTGCCTCGGGAGAGAGAGCGGGAGCGAGCAGCTCCGCCTCCCTGCTGTGCCCCGGCGACCGGCGGGGGCTGGTGCGCCCCCCTCCCCCCCGCGGCGGTGGGCGGGGAGCGAGGAGGCCGGAGCAGGGCCTGGGCCGCAGGCAGGACCTGGGGATCCGCCTGGAGGCCCCCGGGGCGGCACAGCCCACCTCTCCGCAGGCCCAGGGCCCTAGCCCCCCTCAGGGCCGGCCACACTCCGCCTTCCAGCCTTTCGGTGCAGCCGGGGCGCATGGCCCAGGACATTCCAGGCATCGTACCTGCCACCACGGGGTAGGTCTGGTGAGTCGAGAGGTTGCGCCCCAGGGGTGTATTGGAAGGGGTCAGGGTGGCCTTGCCGTCGTCCAGGGCGGCGCTGTTGAGCAGGGGCAGCGGGTAGAGGCCCTGCGGAACAAAGACATGTCAGCGCACCCAGGCCCCTGGCAGTAGGCCTCGCCGTGGCCGCGGAGACCCAGTCTCCCGAAACACTCGCCCTTCCTCGCTGTGCCCTTCCTTGCGCTCTCTCTCAACTCCACTTAGCCTCTTTAATGGGTTCTTAAGATTCTTATTCTCCGACTCCACTCACAGCCCTACTGTTCCTAATCCCTGGCTCATAGCTTCCCCTCCTGCAGCCCTAGAATTCAGAGTCCGCTGGTGGCCTGAGGGATTGGCTGGACTGCGCTCTCCTTCCTCCTTGTCTCCTTGTAGGTCTGGACCTACAGAGAATGGGAAGCAGGGCTAGAGCAGTCCGCCTGTGGCCTGGTTCAGAGGTCTTCCCTGGATCCGCTAGGTTATTCCTCTTCAGATAGGAAACAGCCGCAGGGAGACCAAGAAACTTGTCACCTTCCCATAGGGGGCAGAGCCAGGACAGAAACCTAGGGGGTCCGGCTCTCAAGTCCATAGTCCCAAATGGTGCACTAAACTGGATGACATCATGACCGTATCCATTTGCAAAAAGTACACATTAGAGCTTTGCTGATGTTATCCTGTCCCCTGACCCCAAGGGCCCTGTGACGTGGGCAAGTAGGCAAGCAATATTGTGTCTGTTTTATATGCAGAGAGCCTGAAGCCCGGAGAGTCAAGTGTCCCAGCTAAGTATGAAACAGATACTAAACTGAGGGCATTGGATCCTGCCCCAGGTGCTCTTTCCTTCAGTAAAGTGCCAGGCATGACACCCCACCAGAACAGGTGGCTGTCTTCTTTCTCTCCTCTATATCCAATAAATATAAATTCACAGGTTCACCTGGAAGATGATACTTTGTTTTTGTTTTTTTTTTTTTAAACTTTATCAAGTACCTGTGGGGTTTTCTTTCCCTAGTGCAGTGATGGGTAAGTGTGCACTACCCCTCACCGTGACTCCCTCCCTTAGGAAAAGACAGCACACACAAGCACACACCTGTCCCCTATACGTGGGTCACACACGTCACAGACACACTCCGTGAAGCCATGTGCAATGGTAAAATCAAGGAATGCTCTGGTTACATAACAGCTCCACTAACAGCAGTCTCTTCCAACGATTTCCATGGAGCTGGGTTCTCCAAGGGGCTGGCGCTTTCTGGTTGTATGCCGGGCACTTTTGGAAGTTGCAGGCAATTCTAGAGGCCACCAGAGCACCATTATTGTTTAGCCGCAATTACTGACTAAATGGTGCTCTGGTTCCACGCTTTCAGAGGGGGCCTGCTTTGAGGCAGGGTGGAGTTGCTTAGAGCCCAGCTTAATGAAATTGAACAAAGTACCTAATTTCTGGAGAGTGTAAGAAAAGTTTAAAATGCCTTATGGGTGTGTTGATTTAATAACAAATAACAAATTCCTACTCAAAATCCTACAGCTTTCCCAAATCCAGACAATTCAGTGGGGAAAAAAAAAATCCCCAATTTCCCCTGAAACCCTCAGTCATCCCAGTCATGACTGGATTTATTTCTGGGGTTGAATTTGAACTGGAGTGCAGAGTGGCTTTGGTACTTGGGCCAATTTCAGCCCTCGGTCTACAGTGACCAGCCAAGTAGCTGTGGTCGCTGTGGCCTCTTTGAGCCGTGACTTTCTCACCTCTATGGCAGAGAATGGAATTTGTGTCCCTAGGCTGATGTAAGAGTTAAATGAGATTTCGTATATCTACATTAAACGCTTTGCAGGGAATGCCTAATACATTGCTCTAATGGGAGTTAGTATTTCCAAATTCTGGGGATCCCTGGGTGGCTCAGCGGTTTGGCGCCTGCCTTTGGCCCAGGGCGCGATCCTGGAGTCCCGGGATCGAGTCCCGCGTCGGGCTCCCGGCATGGAGCCTGCTTCTCCCTCTGCCTGTGTCTCTGCCTCTCTCTCTCTCTATGTCTATCATAAATAAATAAATAAATAAATAATAATCTTTAAAAATAAAAGTATTTCCAAATTCTGTGAAGAGTCATAAGCTGCAAAATTCTTGGTCTCTGTCATAATATGCACATTCTGCTGATCTGCTTCTTGTTGTACTTGTAGAATACAGGACAAAGAGCTGCTCCTAACTGTCCTGGTAGTGAAATAGCAACCAGAAGTGAGGCCACATGGTGTTTCTGTTGAATACTTTCTCCCTTATTGATCTTACAGGAAAAATAGCTGTGCCTTCCCTGCCTCCTGAGGTCGGGTATGAGGACCTGTGCTTCTCTCTCTCTCTCTCTCTCTCTCTCTCTCTCTCTCTCTCTCTCTCTCTCGTATCCCCAGGCCTGAGGGCCTTCCTGTGTCTAGGTGAGGGCACACAGAGTATCCTTTGACAGCACAGTCCGAGTCACCAAGGGCAGGGAAGGCAGGAGCTTGGACACAAGGAGCCCTTGGCACAGGCTGCATGCTCTCTGCCCCTCACTACCTGGCCAGGTGAATGGATGAGTGAGTAGAAGATGGGCTGAGGGAGGGAATGAATCATGGATGGATACTGCTGATTGGTTTCCTTATCCATAGAATGAGCTATTCCATGGTTTGGAGCTGATCCATGGTTTTCAAACTCTTTCTCCAGCTGACAGAAACAGCGTGTCTAACAGAGTGTGCAAGCGGACCAGTCTGAATGAAACCAGGTCGGCAGACCTGAGCTCCACAACCATTTGCTCCCCCAGGCTCTGTCTACCCTTCTCGGACTTGGGTTATCGGCACACAAATGGAAAGACTAGACTCCATGGTCTCTGAGGTCCCTGTGGCTCTAAGACTCCCCAATGTCTTAGAGGTCCCTGTGGCTCTGATTCCCCACGTGCATGTGCCAACTTGGGGCTGGTCTCAGGGTCTCCCTGTAATCAAGCAGGGCCCTTTGGGAGCTTAGCAGTGGAGCTAGGAAATGGCTCTGTGAGCCAGAGGGTGCCAGGGTGTCAGCAGCAGGGTTTCTGTGGGATGGCTGCTCCTTGCACCCTGGGCTGTGCAGCTCCTTACCACAGAGCAGGCTTCCCGTGAGCCCCCGGCTTCTGCTCCACTTCCCTCAGAAAGCCATGTGCCGACTCCCGGTTGAACACCCAGGCCCTCTCCCCAGGTCTGCTGACGGCCAGCTTTCTCTGCACCCCCTCGTGGTTGCCACAGCCCAGGCTGATAAAATCGCTGACGCAGATTGCCTGCCCAGCTGCGGTGCTGGCATAGGCCCAGCAGCCCAGACGGTCACTGGCAATGGTTCAGCTGGTTATTGGCATCGTCCACATTGTCCTGCTCAGACTTTAAAGGCATAAGGCTTGCCTCACTCCTGGACCAAATGACAGCATGAGCGAAGTGGGGTGAGCACACCCACCCTAAGGGAATTCCTTAGCTGGTTGATCCAGGGGGTAGGGGGTTGGGGGTTGGGGGTTGGGGGTGGAAGCCATTGCTACTGTGGAGAGATACCAATGGATGGATGGTCCTGGAAGTTCTGTCAGAGTCGTGGAGTCTTTGTTGGGCTTGGGGAGACCAAGGACATCTCTGCTAGCTGTTTCCAGAAGCTGACCTACTATAAACCATTTCACCTGTCACGATCCCTGGAAATAAAAGTTCCCCTGTAACTTGCAATTTATTGTTCTGGATTTCTCAGCTCACTCACCAAGACACCTTTACTGAGTATCTGTTCTAAGACGGGCACAATGTTAGGTGCCATAGATAAAAAAAAAAAAAAGAAGAAGAAGAAGAAGAAAGAACGAAAGAAAGAAAGAAGCTTCGAAATGCCGCCCTTCCTTGTGAAACCCATGGTCTACACCTCTGTCCACTGGACAATTCAGTACATAGGAGAAGTTGCTGGAGTGACCTGTTGGATGGGCAGAAGCACAGACAAGACAGAGATGAAGCATTGGCTGAGGGGCAGGGCATGATTCATGGGTAAGTGATGCTTGAGCTGAGCTGAGTCATAATGGCCAAGCAGTACTTTTCCAGGCAGAAAGGTAGAAGGAAAGGCACTCTGTAGCAGGCATGCAGTGTGTCAGTGCACAGAGGTGTGAACAAGAATGACATGCCTGGGAGCATGAGTAATGCAGTAATGCACTTGTAGGGTGTACAGGTGTGAGTGGCCAGAGGTAGGCTGGAGGTGCTGGTTGAGGTCATGGTGTGAGGCTCTGAGCTGCTGCTTTAGAGCTGTGGGACCTCCCCCTGTGGTCTGGGAGAGCCACTGAGGACAGAGGGAGGGTGCCCCCTGGTTGTGTTGCTCTTTCCAAAAGGGTGGAGCTCAGAGGCTAAGGGTGAGGGGAAGGCAGAAGGGCTGTGGGGAGAAGGAGGATGCCGGCATCTGGTAAAGTCAAATCTGTGTTGGGCTTGGAGCTGCAGGAAGCATGTGACCCTAAGCCCACGGGCACAGGTTCTGGCCACTTTGGTGGCAAGACCGCAGGCTGACTAGGAGACCAGGAGTCTTTCAGAGACTGTGCTGTGTTGCAGTCCCTGCCTGCTGCTGCTCGGCTGCTCACCTGGCTGCTTACCTGCTCGCCTTTGGTGTGGCTGGGGGAGGCATAGGCCTCCGGGTAGTGCTGCCGCTCGAATGGGCACTCGAGTGGCTCAAGGTGGTGTTGGCTGAAGGCGTCCGTGCGAAGGTGCTTGCGGGGCCCGCTGCTGCTGCTCTGGGAGTCGATGCTCAGCCGGCAGCTGTCCTGGTCACCTGGCATCCCCAGGCAGGAAGAGAGCTTTCAGGGGACCCATCTACCCATGCCCCAGGCCAGAGTGGAGAGGCAGACTCAGGCTGCAGAGGGACAGGGAGGACTTGGCTCCAGGCCGTGGGACTGTGGCCAGTTAGGGACAGGCCATGTGCTGTAGGCGGGAACCTGCCGGCACCTGCAAAGTCTGGGGCCACCAGTCCCCTTGGAGCCTGAGCCGATTGCCCTCCTGCACCCCCAACCTGCCCTCTGGTTCCCCAACACTCACTGTCATCCATCTTCCTCTTGCTGTCGCTGCCAGGCTGAGCAATCCCCAGGAGCCCGTTGATGGAGTAGGTGGATCCCAGGGAGTCTGACTGGGGTGACTCCGGGGGCGTGACAGCTGAACTGGGGACTGCAGTGGGATGAGAGGGAGAGGGTCAGTGTGGGGTGGGGTGTGACCCCCCCTCAAGGTCCCTGCTGCCACTACAGAGGAGTCAGGAGGCCCGCTGGTAGGAGGGGTGCTTGGAGACATGGCTGCCTGAAGTGAGGCCACCCCTAAATATGTCAGGGCACCTTCCCTGGGACCCAGTGAGGCTCTGTCCCTGTGCAAGGGCTCAGTCCACACAGGCGGGTGTATCTCTGAGGGCCTGCATGTGACCATGTTTCTACAGATGGGTATGTGTATGCAAGATTGAGTGTGCCCACGTGTCGGCACTCACTCAGCGTGTGTCCTGGGCTCAGGGACTTGGTGGCCACACAGCTGTCCATGGGGAGGTTGAACGGTTGCTGCACTTTGGTCCGGATGATTCTGTAAGAAGACAAAGAAGCTATTAGAGAGAAGAGGAGGAAGCTGGACTCACACTGCCCCAATCCTATGCCTTTTTTGAGAGTGCACTTGGTTATCTTAGAGGCACCTCCAGCACAACTTGTCTATAGTTGGACTCCTGACCGGACCACACCTGGTCCTTCCCAGTGGTCCTGTTTCACAATCAGCTCCACTGGTCACTCAAGGCAGAACTGCAGGAGGGGCTTCACACCTGCTTCCCTCTCTCCTCTGTCAACCCCATCATGAGGTTCTGTGAGTTTGACATTGTAAGCCTCTCCAGCATTGATCCCTCTCGGCATGTCACTGTCAGTCACTTAGGGCAGGCCTCCAGGAGCTCTCTCCCACCAGGATCCCTCACTGGCCCACCCCTATCTGCTCTCAACCCTTTCTAATCTGTGCTCCTGATTATAGCCTGAGTAGACTTTTTGCAATGCCTCCTGCAGCCTCCTGCTTAAAGTCTGCCAACTTTCCTATGGGTCACAGGCAAGAATATGTGACATGGCCACCAGCCTCTATAGGGCAGTCTTTGCTGACATTTCCACTTCAGCTACCTCATGCCCCCCTGCCCCAAACCAACCTTCTATCTGCTGGCTTTCTTTCAGCTTCCTGTCTAGGATCTGTGAGCCACAGGGCCTTTGCATATGGTGTCTCAGAGCCCCTTTCTTTGGCTCCCCTTTTCACCTAGTTAACTCTTATTCATTGTTTCTTACTCCAGGACATCTTTTCATTCCTTCCTAAACCAAGCACCGGATGCTAGTTCACATACCTCAGGTTCCTCTCCTTGGGAGGACTGAGAGCTACATTTTAACAATTGTGTGTGGGGGCACTTGATTAGTACCTGATTAGGGTCTGTCTTCTCACTAAACTATAAGCTCCACAAGGACAAGGATTGTGGGTTCCCAGGGCCTAGCACATAATGAGTGAATTATGTATATATGAATATATGAATGAATGAGTGAGTAAATGATTGATTGAGGCTGTGAGTGAATAATTGAATAACCGAACAATTGAGTGAATGCTTGAATGAGGGCCAGGTTAGGGGTCGTGTGGCCCAGGAAAGGATCATTCCAGGATTCTTTTGTTGAATGAAAGAGGATGTCATGTGCGAGGTAGGAAACTACCAAAGTAGGGCCTGGGGTGGGGTGGGGTGGGGTGGGGTGGGGTGGGGTGGGAATGTCACAGAGCAGTGGGAAGGTGTGGTACCTGCCCCGTGGCACCTGGGGTGCCTCCTGCTTAATTCTTCAGCAAGAGGCCCCTTCCTAGGCTCTGTTTCCACCCAAGCTAGGCCCTTCTTCCGGTCTCCGTCATGGTTCCCCCAAAGCCAGTTACCCTGTTCTCCCCCTCCTCCTGCCCCAGCTGCTGTGTCCCTCTTACCTGTTGATAGAGCTGACACTGGGCACAGTGTCGTTGTCACAGACACCCTCAGCCAGGAGCCGGTCTCGGATCTCCCAGGCAAACATGGTAGGGTTCTGCCGTTTGTAGTCTCCAATCTTCTCCACCACCTTGGGGGTGGCCACCTTAGGCTTAGAGCCCCCTATCACTCCAGGCCGGATGCTTCCAGTCTCGTAGTACCTACTCCAATAGAGAACCCCAAAGAATTACCCAATAAGCAGGTGGGATCTTTGAGCAGGGAGTTAGCCAGAGACTCCTGTTCCTCTCTGAGGCTTCTGGGCGGGGGGTAAAATGTACCCCCAGGGCTGGCTTTAAACACTTGATGTTCCTAGCACTGTCTGTTTCCCTTGCATGAGTAGGTTTATGCTGCTGCCAAACCAGAACCCTCTGCTAAAGACCTTACCCTGGACACCTAGCTTCTCTCTTTTTCCCTCCAGCCAGTCTCCTGTATCTGAGCTCCTGCAAGAGCCACCTATGAAGCACAAAAGATTTCCCTTCTTAGAAAGGAGGTTTTGATGCACAGGCTCTGTATATACATACAGGTTCATGGCGGCGGGTTTCTCCAGCCAGCTTTCCTGCATTAAATCTTGACTTACTATTCTCGGCTATCCTGGTTTTACCCCTCCCCAGGAAGCCAGCTTGGATCATTGGGCCCTCTGCCCTGTTTCACTGGTTCACCTTTGCTCCCTTACCTTCCTTCCTCCCCTCTGGCTGGCCACTAATTTTCTACCAGATTACATGATTCAGGTTGAAGCTGTTTCTCCTGGACTCTGGAATGGCAGCATGGCCTGGATCCCTGGCCACATCCAGCCCCTTAGGCCATGCCTACTCTCCCAGGCTGTCCACTTTCCCTTTCCCCTGAGCCCTCAACTACCTCCTTTGGTAGATCCATGACTTATGGTAGGATGGCTTTCCCCTCTTTGTTATGGAAACTCTCTGGTCTCTTCTACCATAGAATGAAATCTGGTTCTTTAAAACTCTGCTTGTTAGTCACAGCCATCCCAGGCTCATCTCTGGGACATTACAGCCCATCTTGGGAACCTTGCTCCTGACCCGAGCCAGGGAGCACGCTTTCCCCTGGCAACCTCAGTCAGAAATCTGGGTTCTCCACAGTTCAACCACAGTTCAGGTCCTTTTGCCTCTTTAAACCAGAACTCCTGTTGAATCTACCTGTGAGTTGGGTGAGGGAGACAGGTACATTTAAGCCAATGCAAAGCCCAAGTGCCACAGTACAGGGGCATTTGGGGAGTGGCTGTCCAGACTATGCTATGTCAGTCTAGAAGCAGGCTTTACTGCTCCTGGTCCCTCCTGAACCTTTGGGTCAGTGGTCCTCAACTCTGGCTACAGAAAATTAGAATCATTTGATGAAGCCTTAACACTATACAAACACTCAGGCCCATTCTCCTAAAGTTCTGCTTTAATGGGTGTGGGCTAAGGCTTAGACACAATTTCTTTTTAAATTTTTATTTCTTTTATTTTTTTCAATTTCTTTTTTTTTTTTTTTAATTAAGTTTCCCTAGGTGACTCTTAACGTGCAGCCAAGGCTATGAACCATTGGTCTGGAGTTAATGTTCATAAATGTTACTTGGTCATCTCATAAGGATCACAGCACCCAGGCCTGGCTCCCTGAGTGGATGCTATGATTTATATGTAGGCCTGAACCAGGCCTTAACGATCTGCATCTCATCAAGGAACGCTGGTGCTTCTGTTGCAGGTGGTCTGGGAGTTAACAGTTTGAGAAGCATACTCAGATATCCCTCATGCAGGGGGTTAGACCGCAGGAGCCACCTCTGATCATGTGTCCGCTCCCTAGCAGCTTCATTTCCTTTGGTCTCAGCCCGGGTTGTTGGGGTACTTTGGGGAAGTTTCTCCTGTTTTAGGAGTAGAGAAGCCCATAAAAATGAGAGATGGGGCAAAAGAGAAAAGTGGGAGGGAGAAATGAAAGGAAGGAGAAAGATAAAGAAAGAAGCAAGGGCAGGAAAACAATAAAAGAACAGGGGGCGGGGAGGCCCAGAAACACCTCCACACTCTGTTCAGATCCCAGTCCTTGGGCCAAAGCTTCACAATCAAGAATGGACCAAGTTCCCTGCGGGAAAAGGCATGGCCAAGAGCGGGCTGCCCAACACAAGGCCTGCAGGGAAGGTGGCATGTGGTGAATTTCGTGCTTACCTGCCAAGGATCTTGCTGACACAGCCATGGCTGACTCGGAGCTGGCGGGAGATGTCACAGGGCCTCACGCCCTGGTGGGCAAGGTCCACGATGCGTTGACGTACCACTTCAGGCAGAGGTCTGCCGTTCACAAAGGCCCCTCCCAGCTGGTTCAGCCCTCCATGGCCTGAGAAGACAGGAGGCCCAGGAACAGCTGTCAGGGCCAGGCAGGGCAGGTGGGTGGGAATTAGCGCAGGAGTGTGGGTGCTGTGTGCGCGAGCGACCGGGTGCACGTGAGCTCTCCCCATCGTGCCCCCTGGTGCTCCTGATGCACCGTCTCCTGTTTCCCGTTGCAGAGGGAAGCTAGCTCCCATTGGGGAGGGTGGTGTATGATGCCAGAGGGGCAGATTGCCAGACTGCGGTCTCCTCTCAGACCCTCAGCCCTTCACTCTGAATAACCACCTCCTACCTTCTTCCCTGCTTCTGAAAAGTATATAAAGAATTAGAGATGCAGGTTCTTCCTACTCTGATGCTGAGCTGTGTGATGTTGGAGAAAGTACCCTGTCCTCTCTGGCTCTGCTTTCCTCATCTATAAAATGAGGGCAAAGACTAAATCAGTGGTTTTTAAGTTTGTCTTTGTCTTTCTTCTTTTTAACACAGAGTCAGATTTTTATAAGCACAAGTGCATTGAGAAACATAAACGAGCAAAAGCAGAGCTTCTCTGGGTGAGCTGGGGCAGAGTGGGGCTAGGCCTTGTTTGTGGCCTAGAGGGATGCTGAGGGATCCTGAGATCCTGAGGGATATCCAAGGTTTCTCCTCTCTCTAACAGGCCAGAGCCCTAAAAGGGCTGGCAGAGATATCCCTGGTACACGTTCCCAGGGGTTCCAGGGATATGACATGTTGGGCTGCAGGCAGTTGTGAAGAACATGGATGCACCGTGGATACATGTGCATGTTTCCTCAGCTGGCTTTCTGACTTGCCCTCTGCCCTCTGGCCCCAGCCTGTATTTCGTTTTGAACACAAACACATTTACCTAGCCAAACACATACATATTAAGCGCCTACCATGTGCCAGGTACTGTAGCAGGCCCTGCAGATGCCCAGATGAATAAGGCAGATGTGATCTCTGTTCTTGCAGTTTTCAATGGCCAGTCACCAGACCACATGGCCACTGTTGGGCCCAGGGCTAAGCAGGGGGTTATGGGAACCACTGGAGGGGACCAAGCCCAGGCTTAGGGGACTCTGGATGGGTTCCTGAAGAAGTCTAAGCTTTGACTGAAGATAAGTGAAGGAGAAAAGGGGGAAAACTGTTCCAGGCAGTGGGAACAGCACCTACAAAGGCTTAGAGGCAAGAAGGTGCCTGTCTGTCAGATTTACCAACATTCTCAACTCTTGAAAATCCTGAGGCCTGGGCTGGGCTCATTCTAGGGCTGAGATCTCCCTTTTGCTGATGAAGAGACTGGGGTGTGGAGAGTGCTTTCTATGACTGATGTGACTCAGCCTGTATGAGGAGCAGCCAGGCTCTAGCCAAGGGTGAAAGCTTTCAGCAGTGCTTCTTGGCTCAAGCCCTGTTCTCCAGCACCAGCCCTGGAAGCTTGTGCTGCAGATGCCATGATCTGAGCACGAAGGACCTCTCTCCATCCCAGGGCCTGATGTAGTAATCTGGCTGGGATGGTAGAGATCCAGGGGTGGGAGTCAGGGGGAGCAGGCAGGTGAGGAGGAAGAGCCAGTGCCAAGCCTTCTGTGTGAGCCCGTTAAGGACTATTTATGGCCAAGGGTGGGAAGTGCCTCTGCTGGGCACATAGTGCCCATTACCACCCACTGACTTAGCACATTCAGAACTGCCTTGCAATGTCTCCTCAGGGGCCCAAGCTGGCTTCAGTAGAACAGTCAATTTCTCTTAAAAGAAAAAGAGAGGCTATAAGTCTCTGGCCTGGGCACTAAGTCAGGAGGAACAAGCCTGCTGGCCAAATACCCCAGCAGGAGGGACACAGTGATCCATTTCCCTGATGGAGGCAATTGGGTGAGCTTGCACACAACTTCTACTGTCCCACACTAGGCAGCTTGTCCCAGCAAGTGCTTTTCCACCAGACCTGGGAAGATATCCCAGATGGTCCACTCCTAAGCCCCTTCTGCTGGCTTCTTATGGCCACAGTCTGTCCTTGGAGAATGGCTTAGCCCTCACTCCATCCTTCTGGTCTTTTGGCTCTTTGGGTCCAAACACTGAACACAAGGGGGCGCCAGAGAGCTACCCGAAAGCAGACAAGACCTTGAGACAGTCCTGGTTTGTCCCCATTTTCCAGAACTTTAGGCTGCCACGTCATCCACCAAGGCTCAGGTGTTTGTGGTAGGACCTCTATATCTGGAAGCAAAGTTTCCTACAGGTGGAGTTCTTCACCTTTAGAAAGGTAGCAGTTTTGAAAAAAACCAAGTGCCATTTTTGGGGTGACCTGAGTTGGGTATTGTGCCTTAAAAAAATCAACCCTGTCTCTCTATTGAAGGAAGCTGTGTGGGCATTGTCCTAAATCTTCCTGAAGGGCGGATCAGGATCCTTAAAGACCCAAGCCCTCAGGAACCCTCCTGACATCTCATTTATTAGATCATCCAGCATCAGTGTGAAGGGAAAGGTGTACTCATACCTCTGGCCCTTAAACTATAAATTCTCTGGTGCTTTATTTTATTTTACTGGCTTCCGAATAACTTTATGTTGCTGTACAAAGAATATTGGCCAGATTCCTGCATTGACTCTGCCTGTTTTAATTTTATCATTTGAGAAAGTGTCCCCCCCCCCACCTTTACTGTTCGCATCCACTGAATGGAACTTCTTATTCTGCTCCTGACCTCCAAACTGCTATAAGAAGATGAGTAAATGAGGATATGGGAGTGTTTGGTTTGCTGAAAGTTTTGATTTAGTGGAAAAATTCTAATTTTAATATTTACATAGTTGAATTATGACCCCAAGCTTGGCCCTAGGATGGGAGCAGTGGTTCTCAAACTTGAGCATGCATCAGAATCACTTGGGAGGCTTGTTAAAACACAGGCTGATGAGCCCAATGCCCTGGGTTTCTGAATCAGCAGGTCTGGGATGGAACCAAGAATTTGTCTAAGAAGTTCCCAGATGGTGCTGATGCTGCTCGTCTGGGGCCACACATTGCAAACCACTGGTTTAGGCTGGGCGATGGCTGGTAAAGAAAATTAAGAGAGGAACTAAATACTCACACACCTCCCACCTCGGCCCTACCAGCTCCTAAAGAATAATAATTTGTACTGTTTGTATATCACAGTTTCATTTCTTTTTATCTCAATATTTATGTATGAAGTGCCTACCGTGAATCAGATGCAAAACACTGAGGAAGCCATCTTGAGGGACAAGAACTGGCCCTCAAGGGAACTTAAAATCTTTGGGGGATGCAATCACAGACACTGGGAATCCCCACGCTAAGGGAGAAGTTTCTTGGGAAAGATAAGCTCAGGGGCTAGGGAAGCCCACGTAAGTGGTCAGATGGAGCTTGCAGGGAGAGATGACGAGGAGGTAACCAGGTGAAGAAGCTTCCACAGGGAAATAAATCTATGCACAATGTCTTGGTGCTCTCAAGACATTGGAGGACATCTACTGTGATGTAGGACAGGCAGGTAGCAGTGTCTGGCAAGAGCCTGCGGGCTGAACATGGAGATGGCCCCTATGGTTTGAGGTTTTGAGCTAAGTCTGTGTAATGGAAGGACTTTTGTCCCTTCCTGTGTCCGGTGTGGGGGAGTGGACTCCTTTGGGTGAGTCACCACCAAATGCCCAAAGGTGGGTGCAGCCTTCCTTCCTGCCCCGGGAAGGGCTGGGCCGCCCACTGTGCTGACCACCTTTCCTTGCAACTACAGACCGGGTGGGCTTTGAGGCCGGAAGCCAGGAATGAGTGGGAGCCCCTGGTTGGGCTGGGGGACGGGGAAGGTGTGAACCAGGAAGAAGCTTGAAGCAAAGGCAAAGCAAAGGCTCTTTGCATGGTCTAGAGCATTGTGGGTGGGGAGGGGTGGGTGTGGAAGAGGAAGGCAAGCCTGCCTGGCTAGACACAAGCAGGTTGTGAGTGTGAAGGCCCTCACACAAGGGGATGCCAACTTTCCCAGGGCCAGAGAGGACTAGTCTACAGTGAGGGGTCTGGAGCCCTGCAAAGCCCCAGCTGAAGCCTGCTGTCCAGAAATGTATACTATGGAGAAGTGACCATATAGGGAAGCCTTAGGGTTTCTTTTGGTCATTTCTTCACCCCTTAGAGAGCTCTGAGGAGCAGCAACAGTAGAAGGAAAAGAAAGAGGCTCATCGCACAAAACTCTCGGTCACAGGTACCAATCCCAAGCCCTTGAGGCACATGGAGAATTTTCCTGGGCACCCATCGCTCTCTGTACAAGTTTTCATCGTGGCACTGATTACCCTCATCAGTCTCTCTATTTGTTTAGATTCCTTTAGGGATTCTCCTCAAGGGCAAGGTCCCCGTCTTTGTCTACCTGGCTTGGTCACAAAAGGCTAATGAATCCTTCTGTAAATACAGGCGACAGAGAAATGCCTTCCAAATGTGAGGGCTGTTGTGCGGCTATTGTGATGGTTATTGCGCAGACTCCCCACTGTGGGATCCCTAAGTGGCAGACTCAATACTTTCCTCTTTCTTTCTGTCTCATTTCTCAGGCCACTGCCCAGTCCTAGAGTGACTATGTGTGTGTTGTTCTGGGAAGATTTCCACTTAACTACCTGGGGGCTTTTCTTTAGCTCCAAAGCGTGTCAAGGTGGGAGTTTGAGCCTTGGCAGGACTATAAAGGGAGGGCCAGTGGCTGCCTTGAGATGCCCTTTCTATCACGCGGTGCCTACTCCCTTTCCACAAAGGAATGGCTTTGTCCATGGGAACCAGGCTCTGACATCCTTAGCCTAGTCGCTGCTCGCAGGCCTGCGATCCGCCACTACAACCTCCCAGTTGCTCCCCTTGGCCCAGTGCCCTTCTGGAAAAAAGGCCAGGGCTTCTGCCTCACACTACTAGAAGTGTTCCAGGACCATGGACACCTAGGTGCCAACCTCTGGTTCCATTTTTCACCCCAAGTCTGCACACTGGATCATGCCAGCACCCATGGTTATGGGTTACCTAGGCACACAGGCCCTGCTCTAGCAAAAAGGGGCAGGCACACTGAGAGGCAGCATTCCACATCTGGTTTCAGC